CCTCATGCTCAGCAAGGGTAATGGTGAGCTCTGGTCCAGTACTGTGTTTCCTGTATTGACATCAATTGCTACCCTCAGTGTGAATTCAGTACCACTGCTGGCTGCTGCATATGGGAGTCTTGGAGATATGTTTCTATGTTTGTTCATTTTATTCTTTATTCATTCACGATATGAGGGCTTCGCTGGCCAGGCAGCATTTAATGCCTATCCCTAAGAGTCAACTACATTGCTGTGGGTCTGGAGTCATATGTAGGCCAAACCAGCTAAGGATGGCACTTTCCTTCCCTAAAGGGCATTAGTGAACCGGATGGGTTTTTCCGACAATCGACAATGGATTCATGGTCATCATTAGACTGTTAATTCCAGATATTTATTGAATTCAAATTCCACCATCTGCCATGGTGGGATTCGAACCCAGGTCCCCAGAACATTATCTGGGTCTCTGGATTAACAGTCCAACGATAATACCACTAGGCCATCACCTCCTCATATCAGTTGTAACAACACATCAGTTATCCATTGAGCCTGACAGATCTATTGAATGCAGAGCCTTCCAAGTCATCTGGTCAGTGATACACCCAAGGAAATGGAAAGGGAGTTAGACATAGACATAGAAGTTAGGAGCAGGAATAGGCCATTTGACCCTTTTGAGCTTGTTATGCCATTCAATATGATGATGGCTGATCATTACATTCAATATGCTAACACCTCCACTCGTGCTTGCACCCCCCCACCCCTCCTTTGATCCCTTTAGCCGCAAGAGCTATATCTATCTCCTTGAAAACACATTATGGTAGTGAATTCCACAGGCACTTGACTGTCTGTGAAGACATTTCTCCTCATGTCAGTCTTAAAAGGTTTACACCTTATCCTTAAACTGGATTCCCCCACCATCAGGAACATCCTTCCTGCATCTAACCTGCCTAGCCCTGTTTGGAATTTTATAGGTTTCTGAGATTTATTTAGGATATCCGTCGGCATGGACGAGTTGGACCAAAGGGTCTGTTTCCATGCTGTACATCTGTATGACTGTATACCCCCTCAATCTTCTGAACCGAATCAATCTCTCCTCATACATCAGTCCTCCCTTTCCATAAGTCAATTTCATAAACTTTTGCTGCACTCCCTCCATAGCAAGAACATCCTTCATCAGATAAGGAGTCTGCACTACTAGTCAGTGAGATCATGGCTGATCTGACAATCCTCAACTCCATTTTTCTACCTTTTTCCCCATAACCCTTGATTCCCATACTGATTAAAAATCTGTTGATCTCAGCCTTGAATATACTTAATGTCCTAGCCTCAAGAGCCCTCTGTGGTAAAGAATTCCAAAGATTGTCTACCCTCAAAAGAAATTCCTCCCTGTGCCTGTCTTACTTGGGTGACCCTTTGCTTTAAGATTATGCCCTCTGACATTCTCACAATAGGAGACAACCGCTCATCAACTACCCTGTCAATCCCATTAAGAAACTCACGTTCCAGTAAGGTCACCTCTCATTTTTCTAAACATCAATGAGTACAGTCCCAACCTAGTCAAACTCTCCTTGTAGGAAAATCCCTCCATACTGGGATCAACCTAATTCATCTTCGCTAGACTGCCTCCAGTATATCTATATCCATTTTTCTCAGAGGGTGGCATCGTAATTTGTTAGTTGACGAAGTGAATGTTGAAGGCGTTAGAGAGGTGCTGTTCAAGTGAGTTTCGGATGATGTCATGTGTGTTGTCGGAGCTGCACTCGTCCAGTAACTGTTTTCCATCACGTTCCTGGCTTTTGCCTTGGGGATGACAGACAGGCTTTGGGAAGTCAGGAGGTGAGTTACTGATTGCAGATTTCCCAGCCTCTGACCTGATCTTGTAGTCACAGTATTTATATGGCTAGTCCAATTCAGTTGCTTGGTAACTCCAGGATGTTGATGATTGGGGTTTCAGTGATGGTAACTGCATTGAATGGCAAGGCGTGATGGCTGGATTCTGTCTTGTTGGAGATGATTATTACTTGGCACTTGTGATGTGAATGCTGCTTGCCACTATCCGTCGTGTCTAAATGTCGTCTGGGTCTTGCTGCATTTGGACATGGACTGCGTCATATCTGAGGAATTATGAAAGGTATTGAACATTGTGAAATCCTATGTGAACATTCCCACTTCTGATCTTGGGATGGATCTTGGTCATTAATTCAGCAGCGGAGAATGTTTGGGCTCAGGGTATCTGTCCACATTTCCTGTCCTTTACACACTATCCAAACAACTAACTGTGAACCTGTCTACCTCTTCTGCAGGCTGTTTCTTCTTGAAGAATCAAAAACTAATCTCTGCATAAGATGCTTCATACCACCTGCAGGACAAGCTTGCATTAATGATTTGAGGCCGTCACCAATCCCAATTTGATTGATAGCCATGTCCAGCAGGTTAATGAGCTCATTAATCAATTCATTCTGGAACATGTTTTCACTGTGCATAACTCTTAGTCTTGTGCATTTAAAACTTTATCAGTTCGCAGCAGCTTAACCCTCTGAGATGCCCCCATCTCCAATGAGAAGAAACTACTGATGACAATCATTTAGGTTCTCGCATGTGTCTTAAAATTTGTTTTACCATTTGTGCCAAGACACATGTCTAATCTTACTTATAAAACCTTAAAGCTTTAATAAACCACTGATAATTAATAAGAATATTTTCTAGGAATATGCTGGACTCATAGAGTCAAATAGTGGTTATGCTTTGATTCAAAACAGCTGTAGCAGCTTTCTCTCCACAGATGCTGCCAGATCTGCTGAGTTTTTCCAGCAATTTCTGCTTGTGTTTGTTGCAGCTTTAGCAAGCACTGGGCAGCTTGTGGAACCTTATTTATGGAACCTTATGGTTTTTGGAAAAAGAAAAGTTGTATTAAAACTAACTGGTTATCTTGCCATTGAAATAGGACTTGGAACAGGATCTTGTATTGGAATCAGCTCATTTATTCTTGAAGTCACTTTGAACTAGGGTTAGCTAAGAATATACATTTTTAAACAAGATCTAATCAGCCTGTCTGGACATAGTTTGATACCTCAGTGGCAGGTACGGCTTGAACCTGGACCTCCTGGACCAGAGGCAGGGGTTTTACCATTGCATCACAAAACTTCCTAAGAATGCAAAGTTTATGCCAATTAGTCATGAAGTCCTATTACTTGATAAGACTAAATAATGAAATGGGCAGATCACTTGACAGATCAATTCTGTAACAACTTTTCAGAACCATTAATTGCAGTTTGCTTTTATTTGTCAAAAAAGTTTAGTAGAGGTGGAGTGAGTGTGGATTTATCATCATCAGGAGTAGCTTGTGTTTCTACAGTCCTTTCATTATGTTTAACCAATTTGAATCATAGAATCCCTACAGTGTGGAAACAGGCCATTCGTACCAACAAGTCCACACCACCCCTCCGAAGAGCATCCCACCCAGGCCCATTTTCCCACCCCTGATTTCCCATGTCTAACCCACCTAACCTAAACATCCCTGGACACTATGGGCAATTTAGCATAGCCAATCCACCTACCCTTCACATCTTTGGACGTTGGGAGGAAACCGGAGCACCAGGAGGAAACCCACGCAGACACGGGGAGAATGTGCCAACTCCACACAGACAGTCGCCCGAGGCTGGAATCGAACCTGGGTCCCTGGCGCTGTGAGGCAACAGTGCTAACCACTGAGCTTTCTATTTCTGCTGTCAAATCTCAAGCATGTATCATTCTGTATCACTTGTGTATATATGTTCGATGTTCGGTAGATTTTAGAAGTCTTGACATTGCACTATTGAGGAATTAGCTTGCACTTGTTGCATGTGTGAAATATTCTGTGAAAGTTATTTTGTGCACTGGACAATGTAGCGGGGTAAAATGCACGTAGGCAATTCTGTTAATTGTGTCTTGTAGCAGAACTGTGTAAACGTTGATTTGAAATGTCACAGTAAGGCATATTTAGTGTTCTTTCTGACAAATGTTTGCCTATTTGAATCTGTATTTGTGTATATATGAACAGAAATTGAAGGATGTACCTCCAGAATTATGCCACTTGTTGTTTTTAACCTGCACACTTTTTAAAAACACTTGAATGTGGGCTTTTAAATTTTAAATGTTCTTTCTAGCTTTTATATTTTATTAACTTTGTAGAAAAACCTTTTCAATAAATGTTATTTCAGCCTTCTTTTACAATTGTTACTAAAATGAAATATTAAATTGCCTATCACGGAATCATCGGAACAAAATTGTTTCAATTTCTGATTAGTTGGTACTTCCATAAAATGAAACTAACTTTATTAAATTCGTTCATAACTTGTAGTGTTTTTGTTTCTGTAAACTTTGTGTCCCTTTGTTTCACTGTATCAAATATCATTAAAAAAAACACAAATTCAACTCCCATTTCTTGAACAGTTTTCGGGTAGTTTTAACTGTTGACTCTGGAAGCGTGGCTTTGATCTAAATACAAGCATTTTTCTAAATATACATCTGGGAAAATATGGATTCCTGCAGTAAGTCAAAAGCATGTAGAAATACTCTTTCATTATGTCTGCAGACCATTTACAGCAATTTCTTTACTTCTGGTTTCTCCTATTCAGTTTACCTTTTAATCTCTAACTCAAAAATTTTATTATTTTAAGCAAATGTGCCGTAACTTGTATGCTATTTAGTGTTTTGTGGAAATTTACTGATAAATTGCTTTTGATTGATTGATTGGGTACATTTTAATTCCTTAAGAAAATGTGGTTTGTATTCCATCTGATGTTTTAAAGATAGACCTTAAAAGGATAAATGAATAAGGTGCAAGGTCATATAGTTTGTACTATTCTTGCCAAGCACTTTTGGGTAGTATTAACATAGCTTATGGAAAACATTTTCAATTAACAGGTCAATTAAGGGGACCATATTGAGTACATGAAGAAGAAAACATTTTGAAATTATTTTCTTTCATTGATTTTCTCTTGCAAAATGTGTAGCGCTTCAATACTGTGATTGTCTTTTTGCAGGAAAGGAAATAACATTGCTGATGCAGACACTGAACACTTTGAGCACCCCAGAGGAGAAGCTTGCTGCACTTTGCAAGAAATATGCAGACATGGTCAGTTCAAATGGCTTAAAAGTTAAACATACAGCTCCTTGCTAAACTGAAACAAAAATTCTGTTCTGAATTTTTGTTTTTGTTTAAAAGCATAATCTAAGTGTGCATAATGGATATGGATGACTTGGACATTTGTATTTTAATATTGCTAATGAGTAGTTTGTGTGCTTTAGCCTCAATGTGCAGTACCTCTGAAAAGTGCACCTTTGATTTGTTAATCTTTGAGTAGCCATGTTGTTATTAACAAATCACAGTTCATTCTAACAGGGATCATGGAATTGTTATGGTATAGAAGGAGGTCATTCAGTCCATCACGCCTCCAACAGCTCTTTAAACAAGCCTCATTATATAGTGCCAATCTCCTGCTTTTTCCCCATATCCTTGCAGATTTTCATCCAGAAAATCACCTAATGCCCTCTTGAATGCCTGAATTGGACCTTTACCACATATCTAGACAGCGCATTCCATACCCTAACTATTCATAGAATCAGAGTTGTGCAGCATGCAAACAGACCTTTTGATCCAACTCATCCATGCCAACCAGATAGCCTAAATTTATGTAGTCCCATTTGTCAGCAGTTGGCCCATATCCCCCTAAACCCTTCCTATTCACGTACTCAAACGGATGCCTTTTAAATGTTGTAATTCTACTGGCAGCTCATTCTATACATACACCACCTGCTGCTTGGAACAGTTGCCTCTTAGGTTCCTTTCATATCTTTCCCCTCTCACCTTAAACCTATGGCCTTTAGTTTTTGTCTCTTTTGATCTTGGCTGTTCACCCTATTCATGCCCCTCATGATTTTACAAACCTCTTTGAGGTCACCCCTCAACCTCCAACACTCCAGGGAAAATAGCATCAGCCTATTCAGCCTCTCCAGACTTGGCAACATCCTTGTAAATCTTTTCTGCACCCTTTCAAGTTTAACAGCATCTTTCATATCGTACAGCACAGAAACAGACCCTTTGGTCCAACCAGTCCAGGATGAAAATAGTTCCAAACTAAACTAGCCCCATCTGCCTGCTCCTGGCCTATATCCCTCCAAACCTTTCCTAATGATATACCCATCCAAATGCCTTTTAAACATTGTAATTGTATGCACATCCACCACTTCATCAGGAAGTTCATTTCACATGTGAACCATTCTCTGTGTAAAAAATGTGCCTTCTATGTCTTTTATAAATTTCTATCCTCTAACCTTAAAAATGTGCTCTCTAGTCATGAAATTCCCCACCTTAGGGAAAGGACAACTACCATCTACTCTATCTATACCTGTCATTATTTTATAAACCTCTATCAGGTCACCTGTCAACCTCCTACACTCCAGTGAGAAAAGTTCCAGCCTTTCCTTATAATTCAAACCTTGCATACCCAGCAACGTCATGGTAAATCTCTTCTGAGCCCTCTCCAGGTTGATAATACCCTTCCTATAACTGGGTGACCAGAACTGGACACAGTATTCCAGAAGAGGCCTCACCAATGTCCTGTACAACCTCAATATAATGTCCCAACTCCTTTACTCAAAGGACTGAGCAATGAAGGCAAGCATGCCAAAACGCCTTTTTACCATCCTGTCTATATGTGATGCAAACTTTGAAGAATTCTGTATCTGCGCCCCTAGGTCCCTCTGTTCTACAACACTACCCAAGGCCCTACCATTAATTGTATAAGCCCTACCCTTGTTTGTTGTACCAAAATGCAATATTTCGCATTTATCCAGTTTGAACTCCATCTGCTGTTTTTCAGCCCATTGACCCATCTGATCGAGATCCCTTTGTAATATTAGAAAACATTCTTCATTGTCTACTATGCCACCAATTTTGGTGTCATCCGCAAACTTACTAACCATGCCTTCCATATTCTCAGTCCAATCATTTATATAAATGACAAACAGAGGAGGTCCCAGAACCGATCCCTGTGGAACCCCGCTGGTCACAGGCCTCCAACCAGAAAAGCAACCCTCTACCATTACTCTCTGTCTCCTGCCATTAAGCCTGAATCCCATGTCACCTAACTTTACTAATTAGTCTACCATGTAGAATCTTGTCAAAGGCTTTATTCATTTCCAAATGAAAAATGTCTACTGCTCTGCCATCATCAACCTTTTTGATAACTTCCTCAAACAACACCATTAAGTTTGTGAGACATGATTTTTCTCGCACAAAACCATGCTGACTATCCGTAATCAATTTCTGCCTCTCTAAATGTCTATAAATCCTATCTTTTATAATCACTGCCAACAATTTACCCACAACCTAAATCAGACTCTCAGGTCTACAGTTCCCTGGTTTCTCTTTACAACCTTTGTTAAACAAAGATACAACATTAGCCACCCTCCAGTCATCAGGCGCCTCACCCATAATTATAGATGATGCAAATATTTCTGCAAATGGTCTCATAATTTCTTCTCTTACTTCACACAACATTCTGGGATACATTAGATCAGGTCCTGGAGATTTATCGACCTTTTATATTCTCTAAGACTTCCCGAACTTCCTCTTCTGTTATGTGAACTGTTTTGAAACCATCAAAGTTTATTTCGCTGCATTCACTAGACTCCATTTCTTTATCCACAATAAAAATGGATGCAAAATATTCATTTAGTATCTTTCACATCTCCTGGGGTTCAACACTAAGACGAGCTCCTTGATCTTTAAGAGGCCCAACCCCCTTCTCTAGTTACCCTCTTGCTCTTAATGTATTTGTAGAATCTGTTTGGATTATCCTTAACCTTACCTGCCAATGCTATCTCATATCCCCTCTTTGCCTTCCTGATTTCTGTCTTTAAGAATGCCCCCACACTCTTTATATTAATTAAGAGATTCAATTGAACCAAGTTGTCCACTTCTAAAAACGATTCTCTTTTATTCTTGACTAGAACCTCAGTATCTTTATTCATCCGTTGTTCATTAATCTTACCAGCCTTACCCTTCACTCTAACAGGAACAAAATGCCTCTGAACTCTTGTCATCACACTCTCGAACACTCCCTACTTGTCAGACATCTTTTTACCTGTGAACAGCCTACTTCAATCAACTTCTGAAAGTCCTTGTCCTGTGCCATTAAAATTTGCCTTACTCCAATTAAAAACTTTAACTTTTACGGAAGGCTTATCCTTTTCCATAACCATTTTGAAACTAATAGAATTATGATAGCTAGAACCAAAGTGTTCCCCCACTTTTACTTCAGTCACCTGCCCTGCCTTATTGCCCAAAAGGAGTCTAGTTTTGCTCCTTTTCTAGTAGGAACATCCACATATTGACGAACAAAATTTTCTTGAGCACGTTTGTCAAATTCTTCACCATCCAAACCTCTAACGCTATGGAAGTGCTAGTCAATGTTCAGAAAATTAAAATGCCCAATTATTACAACTTTGAACTTTACTATGCTTACCTATATATCCTATAGCAGGGAGACCAGAAATGAACGCAGTATTCCAAAAGTGGCCTAACCAATGTCCTGTACAGTTGCAACATGACGTCAACTACTATACTCAGTGCACTGACCAATAAAGGCAAGTGTATCAAAAGCCACATTCATTACCCTGTCTGCCTGTGACTCCACCTTCAAGCTACTATGAACCTGCACCTCAAGGTCTCGTTGTTTGGCAACACTCCCTAGGACCCTACCATTAGGTGTACAAGTCCTGCCTTGATTTGCCTTACCAAAATGCAATACCTTACATTTACCTAATTAATCTCCATCTGCCATTCCTTGCCTATCTGATCAAGATCCCATTATACTCTGAGGTAACCTTCCTCACTGTTCACTACACTACCAATTTTGATGTCATCTGCAAAGTTACTCACCATTCCCCCGTATTCACATCCTAATCATTTATATAAGTGACAAAAGCAGTGGACCCAGCACCAATCGTTGCAGCGTATCGCTGGTAACAGGTTTATCAGTCCAAAATAAAAACCCCTCCACCACTACACTGTCTCCTACCTTCAGGCCAATTTTGTATCAAAATGGCTAGCTCTCCCTGGATTACTTCACCTTTGTTATGCAGATCATTTAAAAATCTGTGTCTAGTTTCTGTTAGCTGAGTGGCTGTTTTGCGATGCAGGTTCAATTCCTGCACTAGCTGCGGTCACCAAAAAGGCCCCACCAACTGAACTTCATCTGAGGTGTGGTTACCCTTGCATTAAACTCACCACCAGGCTATCTCTCTCTCATGAGAGAGCAGCCCTATGGTCCTCCTGAGACTATGGCAAATTTACCTTTAAATTTATGCTCTCTTGTTCCTTTCATGAGTTGGGAACAGTTTCTCCCTATCTGCTCAAGCAATGATGTCTATCAGTCATCTGAGAACTCTGGACAGGTCTATCTCATGGTTTTGAAAACCTTTATCAAATCTCCTCTTAGTTGCTTTCTCTGAAAGATCAGTCCCAACATCTTCAGTCTGTCCTCAGAACTGAAGGTCCTCAACTGAAGTTCCTCATCCCCAGAACCATTTTTGTAAAATCACTTCTGCACCGTCTCCAATACATTCACATCCTTCCTATGTGTTCTGAGGAAGGGTCACCGGACCCAAAATGTTAACTCTGATTTTCTCTTCACAGATGCTACCAGACCTGCTGTGAGTTTTTCTAGCAACTTCTGTTTCTGTTTCTGTTTCTGATTTAGAGCATCCACAGTTCTTTTGGTTTTCACATTCTTCCTCTGACATGATCCCCAGTAGTGAAGGCTTTCAAATTAATCTATAACAGTTGCAAGGTGCTTACAGATCACTTCTCCCTTTTGGGAAATGCTTCAACAATGGAAATAGCCCTATCAGCTTTGCACTGAATACACCAAAAGTAACTGAAATATTGTTCTTTAAACGGACAAATTTCAGTCTCGTTGTTCCGGCATCTGAACTCCTATCCTGCAACAGCCCTAATTTATTATGATTGCTGTAGATAATAACTTGGTGGTGGGGTGGGGTGGGGGGGGAGGTGGCGGCTTGATTTCCCAGTGATCAACTTAAAAGACTCGCACAAGAAGATTTCAAGTTTTAAGCCTTTTACTGTAACAAAGTAAAATCAACATCGGCTAGAGGCTACCAAATAGACAATTTGTATTCTGTACTCCCTTTTACTTTCAGTTAAAGAAACCATTATAACTTGATCCTCTTGCAAAGCTTGTATTCATAACAACTGCACCTTTAGTAAACAGCATTACTGCACTGGGCCTTGTTAGCTTGACTTATGTTGTTTGAAGTTGTAAGTGTTCAGCAAAATGGTATTTTAACAGAAATTAAACTGCAAAATTAGTCACTTTCAATTAAATTTATCCTAAAATTTGGCATTTTTCAAATGATACGTTTGATCTGTCTGCAGCTTGAAGAGCACAGAAATACTCAAAAGCAAATGAGACTTCTACAAAAGAAACAAACGCAGATCATCCAAGAGAAGGATCATCTTAGGAATGAGCACAGCAAAGCCATTCTGGCACGCAGCAAACTAGAAAGTCTATGTCGTGAGCTGCAACGCCACAATCGAACTCTTAAGGTATTATAAGTGATCGATTACCGTAAATTTGTGTACAACTGATACCTTTTGGGTGTTGTATAAGTTTAGGCTCTGTGGCTAAAACCTTGTAGGTTTTTTTTGCTTTACTTATATATTTAAGTTTTGCATCTGTAACTGTACAAATTTTGAAGTATGTTTGGCTGGAACTAGTACATATAAAAAAGGACAGAAAGCCACATGGTTTACCATGTTTGACCTTACCTGCCATTGTCATAGCATTAAGCTCAATCCACCCATCCTTCTGCAATCGTGCAATTTTACAGAAAGAGGAAAAGAAAAATATGTATAACAAGTTGGTGATGAAATATTTCAGGAATTTCTCTCTGGGCTATGCAACAATTAAGCAAGTTTCAGGAGAGGGCAATGACTGGTATCATCATTCTGTATGCACCTACCTAAATCTGTGCTTTGAGCTGCCTTTCATTCAGTGGAACTTAACCCAGACTCCTTTTGAATGCGTGTATTGAATTCATGGTTAACTCATTATTGATTTCTTGTTTTAATGTTCAATCTCTCAAAATAGGTGTTTCCTTGCATCTGTCTTAATGTTGCACTTTTTTAACTTGAACTGTTTCCTACTTTTGCCTATTGTGTTTATAGTGTAGGTATCAATTTTGTTTTCCAAGGAATGTTTCTTTGTTTTCACAGACAATCTTTCATTCTTTTGCTCTTTCTGTAAGATTGTATGATTGAGAAGGATGGGTGGATTGGGCTTAATGCTATGATAAAGATGGACAATGGCAGGTAAGGACAGGCGTGGTAGACCATGTGGCTTTCTGTCCTTTTTTATATGTACTAGTTCCACCCAAACATGTTTCCTTTAGATGATGCGATTATGAAATAACATTACCCCCAATGGAAATGTGAACTTCAGAAAAAGAGCCATGTAGGACTCAAAACATTAACTCTGTTTCTCTCTTCACAGATGTTACAAGACCTCCTGAGTTTCTCCAGCATTCTTTGCGTGTGTTTCAGATTTTCAGCTTCTGTTGTATTTTACTTTTAGAATCTTTTCACTCATTGGTTGTTGCCATGATTGAATTTTCCAGGGTATTCTGGGGGTTTCAGAGGGTGAATTTGCTCTGTGCTCTGTGCTCTGTGCTCTGTGCTCTGTGCTCTGTGCTCTGTGCTCTGTGCTCTGTGCTCTGTGCTCTGTGCTCTGTGCTCTGTGCTCTGTGTGTTTTTTTTTTAACCCTGTGGCTTGGGATGTTTGACAGAGACAGAAGCCACCCCTATTATTAAAGACCTTAATCAAAGCATTTGACATTCCAAAATATTAAATTTGAAGTTCAGGCTTCCCTGATAGCTAAGGATATTTAAGTATTCATCCAATGACCCTTAGAAACATACAGACATAGAAAATAGATGCAGGAGCAGGTCATTTAGCCCTTCGAGCCTGCACAAGCATTCGGTATTATCATGGCTTATCATGCAATTTCAGTACCCCATTCCAACATTCTCTCCATACCCCTTGATCCCTATAGCCACAAGGGCCACGTCCAGCTCCCTCTTGCATATATCTAACGAACTGACCCCAGCAGCTTTCAGTGGGAGACAATTTCACAGATTCACAACTGAGTGAAGAAGTTCTTTCTCATATCAGTCTGGAATGGCTTATCCCTTATTTTTAAACTGTGACCCTAGATCTGGACCTCCCCAACATTGGGAACATTTCTTCCTGCATCTAGCCTGTCCTGCATCTATGAGACCCCCTCTCGTTCTTCTAAATTCCAGCATGTACAGGCCCAGTCGATCCAGTCTTTCCTCATATGCCAGTCCTGCCATCCTGGTAAACAGTCTGGTGAACCTTTGCTGGACTCCCTCAATAGCAAGAATGTCCTTGCTCAGACTTGGAGACCAAAACTGCACACGGTACTCAAGATGTGGCCTCACTAAGGCCCTAAAGTAACATCATTACTCTGATACTCAAATCCTCTCACTATGAAGGTCAGCATTCCATTAGCTTTCCTTCTCTAAATCTTTTCCAGGACATTGGATCTTCTCACCATATGAGGGAACCAAACCTAGACTTGGTCCAGTTTCATGCAGAATACTAGCATGAATTAATGATTGGGCCTTCAGAAAGAAAACCAAGAATAGGAATGGCAGCCTGTGACTAGTTGGCGTCTGCAAGGATCAGTACCTTGGCACCAACTGTTCACATGACATATCAGTATTTTGGAGGTGGGGACCAAATGTAATATTTCCCAATTTGGAAATGATACTAAGCTATGTGAGAAACATGTATAGCGTCTGCAGGCAGATTTAGATAGACTTGGTAAATGGGCAAGAACATGGCAGATAGAATATAATGTGGAAAAATGTGAGGTTGTCCACTTCGGTAGGAGAAGTAGCTGTGCAGTGTATTTTTTTTAAATGGTAAGAGGTTAGAAAGTGTAGATGTAGAAATGGACCAAGGTGACCTTGTCACAGTCACTGAAGGGTAACATGTAGGTGCAACAAGTTATAAAGACCATAAGACATAGGAGCAGAAATTAGGCCATTCGGCCCACCGTCATTCAATTATGGCTGATAAGTTCCTCAAACCCATTCTCCCGCTTTCTCCCCATAACCCTTGATCCCCTTGATAATCAAGAACCTATCTATCTCAGTCTTCAATGTACTCGATGACCCGGCCTCCACAGCCTTCTGTGGCAGTGAATTCCATAGATTCGCTGGCTGAAGAAGTTTCTCCTTATCTCCGTTCTAAAAGGTCTTCCCTTTACTCTAAGGCTGTGCCCTCGGGTCCTAGTCTCTCCTATCAATGGAAACATCTTCCCAACATCCGCTCTGTCCAGGCCATTCAGTATTCAATTAGATCCCCCCTCATCCTTCTAAACTCCAATGAGTATAGTCCCAGAGTCCTCAAACGTTCCTCATATGTTAAGCTTTCCATTCCTGGGACTATTCTCGTGAACCTCCTCTGAATCCGCTCTAGGGCCAGTACATCCTTCATGAGATATGGGGCCCAAAACTTCTCTCAATACTCCGAATGTGGCCTGATTAGGGCCTTATAAAGCCTCAGTAGTACATCCCTGCTTTTATATTAAAGTCCTCTCAAAATAAATGCCAACATTTATTTGCCTTCCTGACTCAACCTGCAAGTTTACCTTGAAAGAAGCCTGGACTAGAACTCCCAAGTCTCTTTGCACTTCAGACTTCTGAATTTTCTCCCCGTTTAGAAAATAGTCCATGCTTTTATTCTTTTTACCAAGGTGCATGACCTCACACTTTCCCACGTTATATCCCATCTGCCACTTCTTTGCCCACTCTCCTAACCTGTCCAAATCCTTCTGCAGCCTCCCCGCCTCCTCAATATTACCTGTCCCTCCACCTACCTTTGTATCATCTGCAAACTTAGCCAGAATGCCCACAGTTCCTTCATCTAGATCATTAATGTATAAAGTGAAAAGTTGTGGTCCCAACACTGACCCTTGTGGAGCACTACTTGTCACTGGCTGCCATCCTGAGAAAGACCCTTTTATCTCCACTCTCTGCTTTCTGCCAGACAGCCAATCTTCTGTCCATGTAGCACTTTGCCTCTAACACCATGGACCCTTATTTTACTCAACAGCCTCCTGTGCGGCACCTTGTCAAAGGCCTTCTAGATGTCCAGGTAGATAACACCCATTGGCTGTCCTTGGTCTACCCTGCTCGTTACTTCCTCAAAGAATTCTAGCAGATTTGTCAGGCATGACCTCCCCTTGATGAAACCGTGCTGACTTTGCCCCATTTTACCATACACTTCAAAGTTTTCAGAAATCTCATCCTTCACAATGGACTCCAAAATCTTACCCACGACCAAGGTTAGACTAATTGGCCTGTAATTTTCTGTCTTTTGCCTTGCTCCCTTTTTAAGCAAGGGTGTCACATTAGCGATTTTTCCAGTCTTCTGGGATCCTCTCTGACTAGTGATTCCTGAAAGATCACCATTAACGCTTCCACTATCTGTTCAGCTATCTCCTTTAGAATTTGGGGGTGTAGTCCATCTTATTCAGGTGATTTATCCACCTTCAGGCCAATCAGTTTTACTAGCACCTTTTCCTTGGTGATGGCCACCATACTCAGCTCTGCCCCCTGACTCTCTTGAATTTTTGGGATATTACTCGTGTCTTCCACCATGAAGACTGATGCGAAGTAATTATTCAGTTCCTCAGCCATTTCCTTGTCCCCCACTACAATCTCTCCACCATCATTTTGCAGTGGTCCAATGTCCTCTTTTGCCTCTCTTTTGCCCTTTAGATATCTAAAGAAACTCTTACAGTCTTTGTTTATATTACTGGCTAGCTTGCCCTCATATTTAATCTTTTCCCTCCTTATTTCTTTTTTTGTTGCCCTCTGTTGGTCTTTGTAAGCTTCCCAATCCTCTGGTTTCCCACTGCCCTTTGCCACATTATATGCTTTCTGTTTTGCTTTTATGCTACCCCTGACTTCCTTAGTCAGCCATGGTTGCCTCCTGCTCTCTGTACCATGCTTTTTTTGCCTAGGGATTAGGTAGACTAATGGAGTGTTGGTCCTTTTTGTGAGAAGATTTGAAGTAGTGAAGTCTTGCTTAAATTATATAGGAGATTGGTCAGACCACACCTGGAGCAGTGTGTGCAAGGTTTGCCTCCTGATCTCAGGAAAGATACCACTACCATAAACGTTGCAATAAATGTTCACCAGACATGTTCCTCGGATGGCGGGACTGTCCAATGAAGAGAGGTTAGGCAAAATGGGCATGTATTCTGTGGAGTTTTGAAGCATAAGAGACAATCTAACTGAAACTTACAGTTTATCCAAAGGGATAGGCAGGTTAGATGCAGTAAGATGTTTCCCTATTTGGGGAGTCTAAAACCAGGGCACAACTTAAATATAAGAGGGATGCTATTTAGGTTCAAGATGAGGATAAATTAATTTACTCAGAGGGTTGTGAATCTTTGGAATTCTCTATCATTTTGGTGTAAAGAGGCTTGGTGTTTCAGTGCATTTAAGGTAGA